CAGTCACTGTTAGAAAATCAGAAATGTGTGGATTTTGAATAACAAGGTTGCTATTGACCAATTATAGAACAGTTTCATCGTTTTTAACCCTTGTTTCGACCGTCAACAATTTTGGAAAGGTGCCCTAAAAACTTAACAAAATAATCACAATGTCGGTTCATTTTTGACCACCTTTAATATTAACAAAATCACCTTTCAAAAGTAGGTCAGGTGTTTTTTTTGTGAAGTACGGTAGTCAAATCTAAATACATGCATAACTACTGGCTACGTAGCCACATACCGTATTCTTGTTTGGGTGCAGTCACACATGGCCCAGCTCGTGTGACACACACCCCTGTTACCAGGCTACGTGTAACCCCGTTACAAGCCGGAAAAAGAGTTTTTTTTCATCCATAGTGTAGACGCAAGATGGGTCGTATTGGTCGATTATAGACTCTAGATCCTGCAGAGCCCTATCATTTTGCCAACCTCATCACCTTTTCCGAGGAGGCTGGTGCCAATAAGCAAAAATAGATGGCGAAACCTGGCAAGCTTAGGTTGCAATATATAAATCGGATCTTCATATCCGATAGCAAGAATGCTTGCATTTTATCTCGAAGATATCTAAAGCCGCGGCGATTGTTTTACATCTGTGGCAGATATTCCCTGAGCTTGAAAAATGGTTGGCTGCTTATAATCATAAGAACATTTTCAAGTTCAGGAAAGGTGCCAGCAAATGCTCGGGAAAATTTTTCCCTGGTCGCTTGGTCCAGTTTAGATTATGACTGTCTGATTGTCTTACAGTCAACGCCATATTGCATTGCTATAATTCATATGGAAGGGGGCTTTGGTTGATTAAAGAGAGAAGAATCACTATCTTTTGACAGTAATTTAAGAGCCTCTTACAAGAATGTAAAAGACAGTTTGTAGTAAGGTGTACCCATTTTGTGTTGATGTTTACTTTACCTCAATTTAAAGGAACTGATTTAAGACATACATGTTATTAGCCAATAGGACAGCTGTTGTACGATGGCTCACTTACCATGTTCGGCGTGCTAGTAAGGGCGAGAGACTATGTCTTCTTTGAGCGGAATCCATTCGTACAGGTACAATACCAAGACGAATTACAGTCATTACTGTCTGACTCAACTGTCATTGCGTAAACTATTTTGTAAGATTCTGTATTTTACTGCCATGGGATCGTGCTACTATTTGTACTTACGCGAGGCACACCCGTTGTTGCCTAACGAATATGTCGGGGGTTACCACAAGTACGTGGTTCACTATGATAATCCAAATTAAAATTATTGTATTTAAGAGTTCAATTGCGCTGTAGATGGCTGGGAACATTTTTATTCCTAGCATCCATCACGCTATATGTCGTCATGACAATAAGTGATCCAGGCGTGATCCGACATGAGAACATTCACACATTTAAGCAATATGTGAATCATCCTGTTTTGTATCCAGAAGGAAAATACTGCCGCACATGCAAGATTTTAAAGTGAGAAGATATTTTTTGAGAGTTTGACAATAGAGTCTCATGGTTAAATGCAGGTTACCACGATCGAAGCATTGTCGAATGTGTAATCACTGCGTTGGTAGATTCGACCACCAGTACGTGTAAATATTTTCTTTAAAAAGAATTGTTGTGCTCCAACTAATGAATTTATAGTTGCAGTGAGTGAAGGACCATGCATCTACATCATTGTCCATTATTGTTATTGTTATTGTAATTGTGATTTGTCAAGTCTGGTTTAATGGCTGCGTTGGTGAGAAGAACTACAAATTTTTTCTTGTGTACTTGCTGGTACGTTTGGCTGAGTCACTTAAGCGTATGATAAATAATAGAACCTTTGCCGTTGCATAGAGTCAACTCGCTGTATGTATCGAGGGTTTCTTTGTCACGACTAGTGTATTTATTACGCAGGTACGTACAAATTAAATCGGTAATAAGCTCGTGAATTTGATTAATAAGAGTGAGTAATAAGGCAGACAGACGATCTCTTGCGTTCACGCGGTGTCACCATGGAGTCTGTTGGTCGAAGGGAGACTGCTAAGATCTTGCAGTCTTTTATTGCAGTATGTCTGTTTTTTTTCTCCTGTGAGATATAACTACCAACTGACATGATGTGTGTTGCCAGAACAATCAAGGATTGGGATTTGTCACTGCAATGTGCTTTCTAAGCGGCATTCTTGTCTGGTTCTTTCTCCTCGTTCAAATCAAGCGCATTGCTCAAAATGAGACGGCAAATGAATCGTTTAAACGAGAAGACTTGCGTGAGAAAGCAGAGCTTGACGGTGAGACGTCGGGCCTTCAAATGTTCCGATTTCTTTTCAAACGTCTGAATTTCCGAAAGCGCTTGAAAAAGACTATACCACGGCATGAGTTGAAAAAGACATTAGATGCATCCTGGGGTGGCCTTTTCTCACCAGATACTATCATGAACACCGAAGAGAGTTTCTCAGTGGATGATGTCAATTTTAACCCATATCGTCTTGGGTCGTTCAAAGAAAATTTAATTGATGCTCTACAATATCGTAGCAGTATGGATAAAGCGAAAAAGCATTAGACAAAACAATCAAAATGTCGTTTTCAGAAAGCAATGCATCATTAACTTCCTAAATTAACAATCGACAATTCCCTATAGAGACACAGTGGTATTAGCACTCTTATTGGATTCACTAAGATCCGAGAATGCTCTGTTCATACTGATTGTTGCTTGGACCGAATGGACGGCGGCCTTAAATTTCTTGCGTGCATGGAAACGCCGCAGCTCGGTCAACGCACTCATCAGTGGTACAGTAGCCACATCAGAACCAGTGATCCACTTGTGTGCTAGCAATTCATCAGCTGACGCTCGATTCGTAGGATTTACAACCAACATCTTGGAAATAAACTCCTTAGCATCGGTTGATACATTATCCCAGTACGGAGAGTCAAAATAATACTTTCCTTTTCGTATTTTTTGGAATAAAATCGGCTGCATTTCGTCATGGAATGGTGGGTAGCCACATAAAAGAATGTACGTAATGACGCCAATGCTCCAGATATCAACTGGCTTACCATAAGATGCTCCTTCCAAGATCTCTGGTGCCACATATCCAGGTGTACCACACGTGGTCACAAGTCCCGCATCATCTTTAGTCACAGTCTTTGCAAAGCCAAAGTCTGCTAGTTTAATACTTGCATCATCATCAGCTGATAACAGTAACAAATTCTCTGGTTTAAGATCTCGATGTACAACATTTTGATCATGACAATATTTGATGGCATCAATGAGAATCTTGACAAGATCGCGCGCTTCTTTCTCCGTATAAAACGTTTTTTCAACAATCCGATCAAAGAGTTCACCACCACTTACAAACTCTGTTACAAGATAATAGTATTCAGGCTCAATAAAAAATTCTTCAAGTGTCATAATATGCGGATGTTTCATCTGTTTCAATATCGAGACTTCAAATTGAATGGCCGCGTCGTCATCAGTCGAGAGTTCGGATCGTTTAATGCATTTGATAGCAAATTTGCGCTTACTCTTCATGTGAACACTTTCACGTACAACAGAGTAGGAACCTGAGCCAATAACTTTGCCCAAAGTATATGAATCGGTCACTTTGCCTTTTGTTTGGCTTGAAGGCGTAGAGTTTATGACGGACGAAGCCTCCGCGACAGAAGAACTTGCAGCTGTGGATAAGTTGTCAGTGGAAGAATTAGCGGTAGTTGACACATCAGTATTGTTGCGTCGAAAACAATCATAAAAGCACGACAAACAGCGCATGGCACCAATATCTAGGGGCGGACCTCGAGAAATCAGATGGACTTGTGACCCATGATTACGTACCTCTAGTCTCACGATCTATTTGATCGGTGGTACTACATAATTTCATACAAATGACTGAATCGACTCGCACTTAGAAGAGTATCCGTTGCACATCAATATTCAGTGAATATTATGTTAAATCATATTTTTGAGCTCTGATTTGTCGTATCTTATTATCTGGAGCGATTGTGTGAAGACCTGTTGAGAGAAGGCTGCTTGATTTTATTGAAGAACAATGTTGCAGCTATATCTCTACTTTGCATGTGTAACTATATTTGTTTTAGAAGATCATAAAATCAAATCAGCTCAGTGATAGTTTTACTTTCGTGATTGAGGGTTCGAATCTCTCACAGGACAGAAATTATGTCACCAAGCTTTGGGCTCGTTTTGGGTACCTAGCCAGCATTATCGTTTTCTCGTCCTTTCTCATGGTTATACAGACCAAATCGTACATCATTACGGCAGCGCAATCTAGTATAGACATTGCAGTGCTAAGACATGAATGACGTTGAAATTTAATAAACGTTTCGCTTTGGGTTTCAAAGCAGCAGGCTACCAGCCGCAACAAGCCTTCCTACGTACATCGTTCGTACCCATAACGGCAAACAACCCCATTGAAGTCATCTTCGCGGCGACTTTGGCGAGGAAGGTCTTCGTCGGCATGTCATGGCCGAGAAGAGATGTGGCTTGTGAACGACGCCAAGGCATTGGGTATCATTGCGCAAGACGTTGAGATTCAACATCAGACCGTAAATGGGTCAGCCACGAGTGCCATGAAGGCGTGGCAAATGCTACGTGATTTCTACAACCGCTCGTCACTGCATAATTGCGTGACGCTGACACGACGACTTTACGACTTCCAGATGGGTAGTGGTACTAGCATGACGGAAGATCTTGACTCTTGTGACGCGCTTAATTTGGGTCTTCAGACAAGGACAAGTCAATTTGCGACGGGTAATTCCTCTCAGCAGTCTGACGTCGAGGAATGGTTTGATCTCATCGGTCATAAAGGGGGAAGCTGCACAGGACGGAAGCTACGGATAAAGAGCTTAGCGTAAATGGGAATGTAGGAAAATTGATAGGTGGAAAAGATAGACTTGAAGGCAAGTGTTTTATTAGTGACCAGGTTGGTCACATGAAGCGGAATTCCCCGGCTTGGAAAAAAGTCAGCAACGACGCGGTATTTGCAGCGGGTGGAGGACGATCGGCAGACTAGCTTGTCGACAGGAGCGCTGCATCCCACATGACACCACAAAGGAAGAACTTGTTCAAATATAAGGACGTCGAGATAAGCATCAATGAAAAAATTCAGGCCGCATAAAAATTACTCGTCGAAGAACAGGCGTCATGATGATGATCAATCTGAGTGAAAAGAGAAGACGCATGATTGACATTTTATATATGCTAAGAGTCAACAGAAAAGTGTTGTTTGTTTGCAAGCCTGCAGAACACGGCATGAGTGTAATTTTCTCGCGTTCGTTGTATGTCATCCATAAGATACAAATGTGCTAGCTATAACCTACAGGATACCTAATATATGACATTGATACTTGAAAAGTGTATTTATTTGTGTGACGACGCACTCTAGAGCACGTGTTGACGGGCAAGATTCAACGTATTCGTCACAAGAAGACTTAGATGCCACCCCCTGATGCTTAGATTTTTTGCATGTCGGTGCGACTGGAGCGCAAGCACATGCTTTATATGCTTATTCATGCAAAGGGATTGGACCCAAGGAATTGTTTTTCACACCAAAATATAAAAAATTAGGTATTTCATTGTACTGTTGTGAATTTCTTAAAAGCCGACATCAATGATTCACTTCAAATCCTTCTTTATACTTATGCACAGACCTTGTTAGGTCAGACTTGACGATTGAGCGAAAGAAATATGTACGACTTCTACAGCGAAATAAAAAGAAAAGCTGACGTTATTACTTGCACTGCTTACCGCATGGATTTCTTCATGAGCTCCTCATTGGCTTTTGCTGTACTGTATGCTACATCAGCAGATGATTGTAACTCTTTCATCCATTCCAACAATGAAACAGGTCTCGGTTTGGAATATGTCTCGCTCGTAACGACAAAGTCGCCGATATTTTCATGATCATTGTCAGTCCAAGTACCAGCATTGCTATCGTCACTCGAAACACTCGCTTCTAATTCTTCTCTCATGTCACAAAAATCTGAAGTCTTAAGAAGCTCGTCAAGATCTTCGTCGTCTTTATATCCAAAGAGTCCGTCATTTGGCGTGTCTGAGAAACTCACTCCCAAGTCAAAACTAGCACAACTATCGCCGAGGGTAGAGTTTGTCATCGCCACTGATGGAACAAGTTTCTCAGAATCTGTTGTTGTCGAAATAAGCGTATCAGAATCGCGATCATGTGCCATAGAACCAGAAGATTCTGACGAAGGTAAGGATGGAATTGCAGCTACTACAGAGTGCTCAGAGCACATGTGGTACGAATAGTATTCTGCCTCGACAAGAAACTCGGGTGCACCAAGACGGACGCCTGTGATGTTTTTAAGCTGATAAACACATGTCATACAGCACACAGCGCTACGACTCGGACGTGTTGTGCCCAAGAGAATACGCTTGTCTTTAATCTTGCATCTCTTACAAACAGGGACGCCACATCCATCACACGGACGTAAACGAGCACCAGGTACCATGCGTTGGTTCCGTCGGATACACATCGAACAAACGCTATTCTTTGTCAAAGGCTCGACTTTGTTACGGTCCTCGGCATTCCTTAGTGCCAGCAACGTAAATTTCTTGGCTTCACCGCATACGCCACTTTGTAATAGCGAATTCACCACGGCGTTAAAAGCGTGTGGCAGTAAGAGCTTAAGGAGTTCCCCACCATCCAAATCAAAGACGCCACGTCCCATTATATCCACATACCCTGGTGATGTCTCTCGAAACAAATACGAGCAGAACATCTTGGCACGAAGTGTTTTCGTTTGGCTATAGTCAAATGGTGGACATTCAGGAAGATTTACAGAATGGAGGACCATGTAACCATACCGTCTCCCCTTTCGATCAATCCCCGAACCCGTTGCTTTAAGGTAGCAAAAATCTCGTGCATGTAAGATAGGAAGCTTAGTCAGCAGCCAAATCACCTCTGCCGAGCGTAACGGATCTTCCTCTGTCGATTTCTCCACGACATTTAATAAGGCCGCATCAACCAAGGGAGATGTAAATGACAACCCCGTCAACAAATCCGCTTGAGTATTAGCACTAAATCCATAGAGTATGTTTTCAACACTACCCTGCACAGTCCCCTCTACCCTCATACTCGGAAAGCCTCGTTCCACTGCTAAGGCTGCTTCGGGTATCTCTTCTTCAGCTGCCGCTTCATGTCTCCATCTCCCGCGAAGACGTCGCTGATATACTTTCAAATCTCCTGCGCAACGAAATATCTTCCACTTTGCTTCTTGTTGTTGGTCTGTGTGGCTCTTATCGTCTGCTAGTAGAGTCTTTAATCGTCGTTGTACAATTTGGTTTAACTCTTGGCGCTTAAGGGCAGAAATTTGAACACCACCAAAATACCCCGGAGGCACCCGTTTGCATAATGGCATCTCGTCGCCATGGGTATAACTACTGGCATCTGGACTCGGAGGCATAGGTCGCACGCGTTCAATGATGGAGATTCGCAAGTGGAGACTTTTTGAAGTGAAGGTTGCAACTTGCCATGGAGCCAGCGTTTGTATAGTGTTATGTATTTGTGGACATCGGATAGCCACACACTGTACAGTCTATCAACTTAACCATCACGCTCTTGCCATCTTGTGCATGACATTGTAAAGTGACGACAGCTATTTCCATAAGTGTCCATTGGGATCTTTATCGGAGACTGAACGCAGATCTGAGTTCCTAATTGTACTTATAATAGTTTCCTTAGTCCTATGGTACTAGTATATAGTAAGAAGAAGCATTCAGGAAGGAGGTAAAGGACAGTATCTTGTCGAAAGTTATCCGATCCAGCGTGTCGAGAGATCTGGCTATGTTCTTACACTTGAGATACATATGCGAATTCTTTCGAATGATAAACTCTATTTTTCCGTCAATTGTATCAAACCTATCTCGATACAGGGACAGGGTTATCGATCTGTTGTCAATGCATTATCATTAGACAGGTTGTCAATGCGTACGTACAGACCCGTCTCATACACTTTGCTTCCTTTCGAGGTTAGTTCGCACCGCAAAAATCTCGGGATTTAACTTTAGACAAATGGATGGTGATAAGTTGTAGGTAAACTAAATTTAAGTTCAGTTAATTTTAAGAGTTGACGTCATGTACAGTACTGGACTGATAAGAATTCCCTGATACGCTCACTACATTAAATATTATGCTTCCAAATCGTAAGAAATGACTGATACAGCAGTTGATCACCCAGAAAGACCACACCCAAATATTCTATATACTCTCATTATACTACGTAAATAAAATAAAATTCATGACAAGAGAAGTGAAGGAAGTTCGTCCTTCTGTAGACGATCATTAACGACGATAAAGCAGAGCTGTCACGTACGCATCCATTCAGAGTAACCGTGGTATGTATCTTTCCGCAGGAAATTGTAGACGTGAAAGTACTTCGGGTTTATCTTTTGTTTTGCCATGTTTAACAAGTAGGTCAAATTTAACGGCAGTGATGACTCGATTATGTTAACAAGCACTCGTGTTTATCTCGTCGCAATATTCACTTTCTTGAACTCAGAATATTCTTAAAGAACTTGAGCTGTTGAGGCGTAAATGACATGATCAAAAAGGTGCGAAATCGTTAAATTGAACATTTTCTAGGTGCTACAAAGCCAGAAGTCATAAGAAAGTGACGACGACGTTGCTTAATGAGTGGCACGAGATCGTGGACGGGGTCCATGGTATACTTTGCCTTGTCGTCGTACAATCTTGATCTTAGTGATCGGCAGCAGACCAGGCTCGATTTCGGTACTTTCGCTTCTGAAGACACACTTTAGCAAACAGCGACATCATACCCATCAGACGGGCACTAAACATCATACGCCGATTCCTTAGAAAAAAAATTGTGGTAATCGACGATAGACAAATTGTGGATATTTCGGGAATATTTACGAACATGAGCAACAATTTGTCGACATACCTTTCCGAAAATTGAGACTCATACGCCGATTCCTTAGAAAACCATTGTGGTTCTCGACGATACACAATTGTTGGATATTTCGGGGATATTTACGTACATGACCAACAATCGGTCAATATGTCCCCCCTTACATCAACTTAAGTTACTTTATAGTAGACACGGTTAGTTGGTCAGGTAACAGATGAATCACCTTTCAATGAATTGTTGAAAGCACCAGAATGAGTTGTCTTATGCAGTCGAATCACGAAACATTTGAGCTTTAAACTATGACTCTAGACTGGATTATCATATCCTCCAAGCATAGACTCAATCGTTTTGAACCAAGAATACAAAGCTGTTCACTTTTAGGCGACAAGTTGGAACAGCTATCGTCTTCTCGATCAATCGGATGATGCCATAGACAGGTAGGATTCTTACAATTTGAAACCATATGCAAAGACGTTTCACTCTACCTGTAGCGTCGTAGAAAGGGAATTCTTTAGTTGCTGCTCACTATTACAGTATTATTGACGTCTAGAGTTAAGGAATTGCAAACGGAGCAGCAGGCGAAAGCTCGCTCTTAATGTACGTCGCTAGCACTAAGCGACTGGCATCATTGTTTCAAAATGCTTACGTTTGACTCTGAGAGCTTGTAGAATTGCAGATTGCAATGAAGCCAACGTTCTTATTACATTTGTTTCGTTATATTTCGGTAACTACAGCAAAACAACTATGCAGATATGATTGAATTTTAAAAGCTGAATATCAATCACCGTTCCCACATGGCTCTATTTTCAGTCTATCAGACGATGCTTCCAAGAATTTCATTTTTGGCCGTTGTGAGCAATTTGAGCAATATATCTCATGCCACTAAAAGCAGCGATGATGATACAGTCAAGGCGCTACGCGACTTAGGGCTTAGGAGACAATCTATTCAGATCGAGATCCGCGGTTACATTCAAATTTGCTTGGCAACATGTTGACTGTAAGCTATCTACAGATAGTTAGACAGAATGCGAAATCGCGTGGTACAGTATATTCTTCAAAGTACTGAGTGGAAATCGCGGCGGTGCAAGAACGACATGCTCTCTCTCATTGAGTTTGCGTAAATCACTTCATTTACGTCTTGACATCCTTCACCTCATTTTAATATATTGATTCGGCCAATTCCTTCTGAGTGACCTAAAAAGTTGATGACCAATTCGCAGCAAAAGCTACGGTTTTATAGTTGATAAATTAGCACAATGTGCAAAGTCTGTAACGCTTTAGCTGAAAACTAAAATATGCAGAAGAAATCTGCGAAAGCCAGAGGTAGACGAGATACGCATTTCGATAAACAGTGTATAATAGAGCGCTCTCACCCTACCTACACAGGCAGTATTACAGTCTGTATGACTCAGTAATGCACTCGCTTTCTTGAATTTTTCGGAAATTCCAAGCTAATTCATACTACATATTTTAGTTTTTAATGCATCCTGTGTTTTGTTTAGCCTACCTCGACCCAACTTTCACGAAACAATTGAATGCGAAGCGCTCTGTTAAAGGCAACTTTAAGCCTATGTCATCTCGTGCAGCCTTATTTGTTTAAGAACAATGATCGGCCTTGAAACGCTTAGGCACTTAGAAACCAATTGGCCCAAATTTGCCACTCCATCATTGGATATAAAGACCGCGTCGAGACTCTCGGATAAGATATATGTGCTGGAACAACGAACAAAGTTCCCGATAGCCAACAAGGTGAGGTTATGTCATGCTCGATGATAAAGGTAAAGATCACCTTCATTTGGTACGGACATTGGTCTGGTGTGCTCACCAGTCATCGAATCAGAAGCTGGCGAAAAGGATGGGATACCCATACTCCGAGAGCTCATAGGAGCGTAGTAAGGTCTCACTACGACAAGAATGTTGACACTTACAGCTTGTAATATCTGCTATTTTCTCCTATGGTAATTGGCGTTTCCCCAGCCTTGTTCCAAATTCGATATTTTGCCGTTGACTGCATCAGTAGACTCATGACTTTCAGCCTGATTGTTATCGTCACAAATAGGAGGAGAAAGTAAGCACCCATGGCGTCGTACTATGTATCTTGCAACGTCACGCATTTAAAGAAGCACCAGTTTGTCGTCTATAGACGTGCCCTCTTCACCCAATGCTCGAATTCTTTGGCTCAGCCTTTAAAGCATATTAGATGCCTGTAATACCAGTCCAGCTTGTAGATCCAATAATTCAATGGTCATCCGTCGACTTCGCGGCACTATGACTGATAGCCACAACGCGCAAAAGTAACATGCAGAACCCAGAGGCAAGCGGAAAATAGTAAAACTTAGCTCCTCTTATCGCAAGATTGGGGCCATTTTGTCGCGAGTTCAAAGGGACACAGGGGTAGGGAACATCTTAAATGATGTAAAGGTTGCTGAAGTGTGTCCGGCGTAGTTTGGAGTTAATGTTTGTTTAACCATGTTACGACTATCAGAATGGAGCAAGGCATGCAAGAAACTTAGATAGCCGAGGAAAACGTTGGCTGTATCCTCATCGATACGGTGTTTCTGATAGCAGAGAGATGATCCATCTTGCTTAAACGATCATCAAAGACCATATAGAGCTATTGCCAGACACGTCTTTTGAAAGATCGAGAATGCAGTCCGTACTGATGGATGACCTACATTTTGCCAGAACAGGTAAACTGGACAAAAATGCCGAGGAATGCGGTGAGGGTGAGTGCGTGCTCACAGAAGTGCTCACAGAAGTGCTCACCCCATTAGTGCATGTGCGGACCCCAGTGCATAATGATCACCGAGCGATGAGTTCTACCTCTCCCAAGGGGGCCACCCGGGCGGGTAATCATGCGTCTCATAAAGTATTCTTTTGTCGAGTTCCTCGTATTACGCACGACACGTGAGCGTCGGACGGGTCGCTGCAATAATATATCGAGCATTGGAATAAGAAATAGCGGAGCAGATATACAATCGATTACTTTGCTAAATCAAAATTTAAGTGCAAACGCCATGCTGCCTCGTACCCTCTACAACGCCGCACATGTTGTGTCTAACATTACGCTGTGCGTATTGCCTTATTTGGTCACGTCTCCATTGCGACGGTTCATGGTCAAGGCGACCCGAAAGCGCGTACGAAGCTGACTTGGCATATAAATTTTTCAGATTTTCACGACAGGCTCATTGGTCAACAATTGCGCAAAACCATAGCTATTATCGCTTCTTCAACCCAATACGACTTGGCCAAGCCAGCATACTTCAATATGTAGAGTACATATTCCATTAGCGTCCAGTTTATCCATCAGCGATGCCGTTCAGCTGAGATGTGGCAGGGATCAATCCTCTGGCACGATTTCTCGACACTTACGAATGAAAGGTAATCCACCGACGTAAGCTCGCACTTAATAGAGACTTTTGCCTGAAACTCAGCAAACTTGCCGGCCACTTCCGTCTTGTTTTGAAGCAGAAAGACGATACAGAGGGAGACTTTTTGACAATCAGTATCATATAATGCCGCTTGCCATTCAAAATGATGACCTCACGAACTTTCATACATCGCTATGAGCACAGTGGGCACCTACTCCGCAATAATCAATGTTATCAAGTCAAATATGCTACGATACTAACTGGTGCCCTCTTGGTATCTTGATGAGACTGAGATTGCCACATTGGCTCGTCAGCGCTGATGGGCGTCATGCAGAGCTAAACCTATACCTTGCCTTTGCGAGCACCAAGCTGTCTTCAGATATCTTTTGCTGCAAAACCTCAATTGTCGCGCTCAAAGGTTATCAGCTCGATTATGAGTTCTTTAAGACGCTTAGACAACAACCGGCATGACTTTTTTGGATGCGATCACGAATGAGAGTATCGTAATGTTACAGTATATGCTTTCTGTGAGAGCAAGTATATCGAGCAATTGTTCACCTTCCTTATAATCCGGATCAGAATGAGATGGACAAGCGAATGATTCGGACACTTTTGGATATGTATGATTATGGAAAGTGAATTGAGCTAGGCTTACTGGTGCGAGGCGTTATGACGGCGGTCGAAATCCAAAATGTCCTTGGCTCATAGGTTAACCTAACTGTTCGAGATGGTATCAAAAAAGTCCCGCATCAATCACATGCGGGTCTCCGAGACTGAGACATACTCGTTCTCTGCGAAGGGAAAGCGGAGAAAAACCGACAATCGCGACGAAATGTTCCGTATGCCACGCATATCAAGGCATACAGACTTTCAACTGAAACTATGGATCGATAGACGCTTAATGAAGTATGATCTTTCAAATCAAGCGTCTACTGACAATCAAAAGAAAGCTGCGTTTGCATGAAGTACTCGACGCTTTTGAGACTCAATGGTAGGATATGGCTTTTGTCGATGAAGGCTTACCAACGCCGCACGGCTCTTACCACATGTACATCGTTTCAGCATAAAGCACGGGTCTAGTACACCGGCGATACATTACAGGTCGACTTTACGAAGTCTGCTGCGCTTGAGAGCAAATTAACACGATTTGGTGTTTGAGGACTTCGACATGTACACACCTTTTTTATGAATAATATGGCACACAGATCACCCGGATGGATTCGAAAAATATGGCAAATCGCCAAAAAAGTGCATGCACAAGACTTTCTTTACGTCCCCAAACCAGCTACACGAGAATGAAACAGAAAGCTTGATCGGCACTTGAAGAACCGAAAATTCATGAATTCTTTTGCTGATCTATGCGTTTGTGTTTAAGTGTCGAGTGAACAGTAAACTATCGCCATGGTGCACCCTGATGCTTTTCAGTATAAACAATACTAAGAATGGTAAGTTCAAGACAAAATTTAGCTGTAGGAACTCGGGAAATGGAAGTACTGTCCCAAATCTAAAAATCAGCCGCGATCGCAATAATAAGGTACTTCTTTTGGGCCAACGTGCGTATATAATAAGCGCCTTGCCAAGTAGTTCGGCGCACAATATTGCAAGAATATACACATGCCAGCAAACAGAACCCCAAAGCTCGTTGGATTGTCGGATGGCGGGGTGTTTGTACCCGATATTCCCCATCGTTAGCTCGTTGACGCTTTATGTACAACGCAATGTGCTCGCGAACACTTATTAGCCGCTGTTAGTGAATTGTCCAAGTACGGTGAGCGTTACGATAAGTTGCACCAAGACACAGCATAGCTTATGCCCAAGTATCTGAACACACCACAAGACCTCGGGATTGCATTCGGCGGTGAGAACAAGGTAGGATTTGTTGGCTTTGTGTGTATACAATTGGTCAGGAGACTTGGACACATTATGCTTGGAGACTAACTACGTATTATGTCTTAATGATAGAGCAATTTCATGGAGCACAAAGTGTCAGCAAATGGTTGCAGCCCCGACATTGGAGGATTAGTACATGAGTATCTACGGCACCACTCCAGAAGTGATTTGGTCACAGCGTTTTCATGATGATCTTGTTACGGAGGCGAAGATAAAGATGTAAGACGATCACGGCAACATCGCTTTGGCTAATTATTTTCTTTATCACTCGCACACAAAGACATTTACACAAAGCTTCATGCCTTGCGCATACATGTTACTCATAAGCTGATCAAGATATAATATAATCACACGGTCGAGATGGTCGCGGACGCCTTAAGTAATATTTGTCACGGCAAATACAACGGGGCAATTTCGTACTGCGCGCGAAGGTACAAGGAACTGCAAAGGCGTGCAAATCAAGAGTGAGAGCTAGAAGATGATGTTGCAGGTGTATATCCCCTCTTACACGTAAAACAATCATCTTTGTTGATTTGGGAGAAAAACGCGTTTAGCCCAGTGGTTATAGTATCGAAGTGCCATGCTCTTGATTGAGGAATCGATCACTACAACGGAGAGAGATTTATTTACACAGTTTGTAGGATTCTCTGTGGCTTTCTAGTCAAAGCTTACCTAACCTTGTCCTTTTAATGATTATATTAACTGTATATGATTACGATAGAGTAAGTACAAAATCACGGATATTATTGCGATGATGTATCACAACAACGTTATACGAATGCGTACGATTGTGACACCCATTTCCGCATTTGGGTTTGCATTCCCGGTCTAACCCAACGCCCTTCACTACTTTCTGATATAGCTCTTATGCACGGTCAGCAGCAAACCCATGCGGGGTAAGATTGTACATCTTGGAGAAACAGGTCAATAAGACAGAGGAAAACTCGTTTTGAAAAAGGTAACACCCACAGCTCAAAGTTGTTGGCCGCGAACATCGACACCCGGGCTTGTATTGCCATGACAGATTCAGGTGCGTGTTTCAATTACGTACGACAAGCTACTGATAAGAACAGTAGACAATACGCGGAGACGTCGAGCCACCAAATGGATACAATACCCAAGCGTGTTGTGACGGATACACAGGTGAATGTTCTGATGCGTCTGAAGACTTTGGCAATGTAAAATTTTATCCGGTCCTAGATCTAGATTTATGGTATGAGCTCATTTTAGGTATAGCGTGGCTTGAATGTCATGAGCCATAAATTGACCAAAATTCGAAAACGCTGTGTTATTGTACTTCTTTCTTGGAAGGGCTTGGATTAGTCATCAAATCACCCGTAGATACAATTTATGTCCTGCTCCGATGACACTAAATCCCACATGCGTTTGCAAATTTTTGAGGCTGTAAAGTGTCGAAAAAAATTTCTAGAAAGAAATGCAACTTTTCACCATCAACTTCGTGTCTGTCCCGCCACTCAAAGACCGAGCACCTGAATTCTCATACCGCTGCTTGTCTGTAAATGCCCATACATACGTGTATGCTTCAAGTAAAATAGTCAAGCATGACGGGCGTGAACTTGAGCTTGAATTTACGTTTCAAGATTTTCATGGCAGGTTCGGGAATCATGAGTGATGTTCACTTAACATTAAGTTGAGTATGTTTTTTCCGCTTTTGATGCGGTAACATAGCTGCAATAGTTCTGATACAGGACACATCGATAACACAACGAGCTTTAAACCAAGTTCTGGAAGTCGAAAGCGTTTGCGAGCCGCAGTCTCGGGAGGAGATGGGAAATAGCGCTCGTAGATTGCGGTTTTATAGTGAGGAGGGTATTTTGCGGCTTGTACGTTGTGGTCTTCATTGTTTAAGACATAAGTTTAGGTGGTCTGAATAAACGCGGCTGCGGTTTAATGGTGTAATTGACGAAGAGGGGAAGCCTTGATCAGCGATGGTATACCAGTCAGATGCCGGTAAGTCACAGACGACAGAATATTTAATAAGTGTAGATGACAGGATATTAAGTTAAAGATGACGACAGACATCCAGTTACAGACTTGATGTCTCGACTTGTTTTGTGAACTAGGGATTTGGAATCATACAAAGCAATTTTGCCATCTACTTGTGTAATGGCCTGGTACGAGATTTTGAGCACAAAGCTGCGTGCCCTATGCATTCGGTTACTAAATTCTCTCCACTATGGACCCCATCCATATCAAAACCATAGACGGTTTAAACTTCTACACCTGCAATATCAGGATACACGTGGTGCTTGAGCAACGTAACCTGTGGAGGCAGATTCTGGATTATTAAATAGAGCACAACGCCCCCGCGCCGGACCAGTCTATATTTTAATAATATGTATCTGGCCTTGACAATACTCGGCAGTGTTTGCTGTTCCCATTGATCCTTTTTACCGACGGCACGCATCGTGCATGGCTACATCACTTCAGAAGGCATAGGGTACGCAGCTTTGTGCTCAAGTACCTTAGCAATATTAGCACACTGCTACACATCTTGATGCTGTGGACACACCGGACAAGCACGTAATATGATTGTCTCAGCGAGTCGCTCTAGTTTATCAGACTGGCGTTAAAGTTGCAAGCCGATACGCTTATTTGGGAGAATATAGTGTCTTCTCTACTTCGAGAACGCTATGCGTAATAAACAAGTTAGAATCTCGATGGAACCGCGCATTGTCAGGAGCAAGCGATTTTTTGTCCACAGACAATGGACGGCGCGAGGACGATAAGTGCCTGTGATCCCAGGCTCTAAGTACTATGAAAAGCATGGTTATCGTGTAAGAAATGGCCCAGCGCGTATCCACAAGAACGCGTAACAAAAGAGGCATAGCATGCTAATATAGCCCAGGATGAGAGCCACCCTATCAGCTCTTTTTCCTGTTGGTTATATCGCGTGTTTCGCCATGTCAGGTCGCGAGTGGCTGGTCGGCTGATGTTCGGCGCAGAAAATGACGTACTCAGTAGAGTTTATGAAGGACTACAAGATCTCGCATGTGAGCCTGTACCTTGTGGATGATAGGTATTAGTTCAGCTGTCGGTACATGTGGACAGTGATGTTGGCTTCGACACCACGCGGGACAAAGAAGGTTGGGCTATAGACTGTATGGCACATCCGGAAGCTTTCACACAATCTATCCTCCGTTGAACGCAGTACACGATTGCTGGCTCTAAGACGTCACTTGTGTTGTAGATAGACACTCACGTTGCAGCTTTTCATCGTGATGAATGCCGCCACGTGCTTAAACAACATTCAAAGCTGGAGTAATCGGCCTAAGTAATTTAGTGCGCACCGTAGAAATCAAACTATCGCTCCTCTGCACTCTTTATCCTTGTCACTGGCCCTAAACAGCTTGTGCGATTGCTTGGATACTTTGCACAGCTGTCGTAAGATTGATACGTTTCCGCTTTCACACTGACTTGTATGTTTCTGGTCATCTACTTTACTGCGCTGAATATATTATTACATATTCGTCGATGATAAAGCTCTGCATCAAGTTACACTCATCTAAAACGTCTTATTGAGGCATACCAGCAAATTTTGCTTTTAACCAGTTGCTACAGGCTTGTCACCGTGCTTGATCACTTGTTCGCTATGGTTTATCTTGCACCGCCACTCCACGCAACGACACAGCTGAGAGTGAAATCAAGCTCTTTGCCAGGCCTTCAACGTGTAAAGAATTTTTTAGATGTGCGTCAACCCATGTATTCTCCGTCCAGACATGCGATACAATTTTATCGAGACCAAAAAAATCATCTTTGTGCCGCTTCTGGCGCCTAAAATCTTGCGCGGCATTTCGTCGACGAGCATTTTCCGGTCCTTTCACATGTGCGCCGAGACACCACAGTTCAAACTCACGTTTTAAATGCGAATCCTTCACTTTGCTAAATGCGATGTCTGACTGATCAAGACGTGTAGTTTGCGAGTGCTCCGCCCGTATGGCATTTTCTGGTATATTTCTAACCTTGCCACAATTGTAGCGCGATCAAGATGTATTTGTAGTACTTAGCCGTGCTTTTTCCATTAATGTCTTTGCGCATTCCTACACACGAGGAGTGCGGTGATCTCTCAATTGACTTCTTTTGACGCACTAGTCCAGCTATCAGCGTTTTGACGAGGTCAACAAAGCAACCTTGTGTTAGACATGCAAAACGCCCGAATGAGGCTCTCGTAGGCCGCTGGCAATTTTTGCAACATACCAGTGCTCGCGTCTTTTTCGCTCAGACCACATGGGATGTTCGTCATTATCATCACCTGATCTTTCCTTTCCATCACATGCTCGCTAATAGTTGATGCAGTAAACTTCACCAACGCAAACTTTTCCTAACGCCTAGTCAACTTCTCATGTCTTGGCCCCGATGAAAATTTCGAAGGTTCGTCAAAGCTTCCTTTGAAGTCGTTGCATTCATGACGTGCATACACACTGAGTCACTGAGGCCAAGGACAGTAGCCCCATGCGTCTGTTGCTTCTTAATCTTGTCGTCAGATCTTCTCCGGCAACCACTTCCCATAGTCCGCTGTAGTGTAACGAGGTTGCTGTACACTTTGCACAGAGAAAGTTTTGACTAAGACTCCGCTAACAACCGCACAGAGCTTGGGCTTGTTTGCTTCTATCAGAATAGGAATTTGAGAGCATCTAACCTAGGTATCTAATTGGCTTGGACGCTTCACTATCTCTTATGATAAGTGTCTTTGTTTTCTGACGTGCGGCTAGCAGCCCACATGTACCTCGGGTCCTCTTTTTCGACGTTTCGCCATTTTTCACAAGTACCTGCTTATAAATATTACCAATTACATCGAGGCTTAATGTGAAGTGTACAGATTTGTATTTGATCCACATGTATCAAACGTTCAAGGAGTATGAGTGTACACAAAGTTACAGTATTCGCCTCGTTTTACAAAACGACTAAGACTATGCTAACAAGCCGGTTTAGTTTTTCAATTCCGTCCTGTAGATACATTTGCTGCTTTGCATTGTCCATCCGACCTTTTCTGCCCTAGTATCAGCTCTTGATACATACATCGGTTTGGAAACTTGTCGCTATCAATGAGCATGAGCTTTCTCATGTAATTGTAACAGACTGTCGAGATACTTCGCCCAAAGTGTGAACCTTCTCCTTCTAACTAAAACGAAGTATACGTTTGCTCATCAACACATTCCTCTTAGCGCGAGATAAATTGTTGATTCTTTGAATGAAGAGTGTGTTCTCCACTTATTTTGTATTGATTAAGTCACAGTAGATATCTGATACTATCGTCAAGACAGATGTTCGTTTACTGGCTATATACGCATTTCTGGTCCTGCGTAACTCAATGACCGTCCCAGCACACACTTTGTCTATCCATCTGTCTCGTTTGTCAACTCGCGTCATCTCATCAAAAGTCTTATTTATGAAAAGCTTTCATAACTTCACACGAAAAAATGGATTTAGGTCCACGGCCAGTGGACAAGTACGTCACTAATGCAGGACAGCCTGAATTTCGTCCTGTTGGAGTTCCTTTATCTCCTGGGTCTTATCGACCTGTAAATGGTGATAAAGATCGATACACGACATTAATTCGAGGTCGAGTTGAATCCTTATTACGGGATGAAACGCTATATGCTGAGCGTCAAAGTCGCATTGGTTCATTCTTGCATGCAGGAGAATGGAAACAAGTGAAAAAAGAAAAGAATTTGACATTCTATCGACGCTTTGAACGTGGACGATCGCTTCGAGAATTAGCACTTGAAGAAGAGTTACCCGAGATACAACGAGCAGTCGAACGAGGGTACACAAGTATGATTTGTGATGGTTTTGTGGACGGTACGATAGAGGACATGATGTATGGAATGACAGCGTCCTCTCAGGACGATTTAATGACGGGTTTTTCGTATAAAGACCCACCCAAAGATTGTGTTTGGCTTGGAACGATTGAAAGCCCAACCCGCGAAGACCCATTTCATACTGCCGACTTGATCTGGGCACTTCCTAAGCTTCCGTCAATATTTGATCAACTGGACGTTTGTTATCTTAAAGCTACAGGAGTCCAATTGGATGTTCAAGAGAAACGCTATGGGTATTTAATCCTTCATAGTGTCTATATTGGACAATGTCCTTCGTTTGCTGCACATGGAATTTCACGAGCAAAAATGTACTTTGCTTGTTTATTTCGAGAGCCCAGACCAGGAGTATTAAAAGTGACAGTACGTGGAATTATTGATTTAAGTAAAAAAGTGCGATTGTTAAAAAGTTTAATCTCCGCTTCAACGACATCAGTTATGGTGGGTCTTTTTAATGGGGTGAAAATAGGTGAAGCAAAGAAACTGACACTTTTAGCACTTCGCAATCGTTTTCATTCAACACACACATTTCGTCAAACAACATGTTACATGTGCTGTAAACGGGCTTCTTTTCTGGGACGCGCTAATTTATTTGGAACGCATCTTCTTACGTGTTATGTATGTGGAGACACTGTATGCAATAATTGTACACGAGGAATGAAGCAACGTGTGTTTCTGGGTGAAAAACAAGCATGTTCTAAAGTCGATTGTTGTCCAAATTGTGTGCTTGAAGCTACTACGACGATCCATGTACGACCAAATGAATCCGAATATTTAGTCGTAGCTGAAATGTATCGTAAACAACGTTCGACAATGGTAGCAGAAATTGATACAAATGGAGCACATCATAATGGAATGAAAACAAATAATTCAGCGGGTGTACCTACTGCGTCAACAGAAGGGAGTGTTGGTGAATTTCAGCTTGATTTTGAAGATGATGCATTTTCAGCAGCATTATCGTTACCAATGTTACGAAAAAGTTCCGAAGAAGATAATGAGCCTGAAAGTAGTCCAGAAGTGAAAACAACTTCAGTTTTAAGTGAAATTAAACCTTGGAGTTATCGAATTGAATTGGATGAAGATGATTTTATCCCATCAAGTTCAGCTGATCGATTGTATAATGTCATGCAATTTGAACGAAGACAACTTGAGCTTAATCTTCAAACACAAAAGCCTTCGAGCAATAAAGAGCAAAGGTGAGAAATATATTATTTTTCTTACTATTATTGGAATGATGGGAATATTGCAATATGATTCCGAAAAAAAATGCTTACTGAAATAGTAACTACTTTCATTTCACAATTTTTTTTATGTCGAAAGTTGGTAGAAAAAAACATTTTATGCAGCTTGACCCGGGATGACCAAAGACTCAACATTCATGTACAATGAATTTTTCATTCCAATTGTAATTCCCATGGCATATTTGACATTTTGACCTGGAATTTCTATGAAGTGGAAACGACCAACAAGTGTTGCAATTACAAGTTTCATTTCTAACATTGCAAGAGTTTTGCCAACACATGCACGTTGACCGCCACTAAATGCATTAAACTTGGCCACTGGTGTATGCAACAATTTTCCAGTCGTTGGATCAATAAATCGTTCAGGTCGAAATTGAGCTGCATCAGGTCCCCACACTTTGGTCCATCGAGCAGCTCCATAATGGCACATTCCGACAGTCATTCCCTTTGGTATAAATGTACCATCCGAGAAAATGGTATCGTGTACACATTCACGCATTGTAAATGGTACAGGAGTTTGAAGACGCAATAATTCACGAATTGTTGCATCAAGATATGTCAAACCGTGCAACTCATCTATTGATGGTACGTATGTGTGGCTTGACAAAAGTTGCGGTAACTTTGCATGCAACTCGGCTTGAAGTTTCATTTCCACTTGCGGATGTTGCGTTAATGTATGGATTAACCAGCTCATGGCATCAGCAGACGTGTCCCGACCAGCACCTAAAGCAGCCACTGCAATGTTGCGTACGTCTGTAGGCGACACGAGATCACCATCTTGTTCCATACACTCGAGTACAATTGACACAATATCTTGTTCAATTTGTGGTACCGCTTTACCATTTTGACACTTTTGTTGCCGTTGATGACGAATAGCAATTGCTTTCGAAATGATTGTCATGATAAATTCGTCAATAAGTGTAACATCGTCACGAAGTTTGCGTTCTTGACCAACATTAAGCCACCGTTTGAGTTTCCAAAGCCAAACTGGTTGTTGCAACCGACCCGCAACAATTGACTGTGCTTCGTCAAATGCGTGTTCAAATGGATGTTCATGCTCCGAATCAAGTGTATCAAGTGAATTGTTAAACGCCATTTCAGCAAATGCTTTAAACGTAAAGCGATGCATGAGCATATAAAGATCAATCGAGTTTTTACTATTGGCAGCCTTGGTCAAAACTTGTTGCAACAAGAGTGTATGTCGTTGCATTACTGGCATCATATGTTCACGAATGGCACGAGCATTTAAAAGTTGAATTAGCAATCGACGATGATATTTCCAGCGCTCGCCTTCAATAAGAAGGACACTATGACCCATCAGGTCTACAAACATTTCGTATTGGTGTTTTCCTTTGCGAAAGTGCTCGAATTGAGTCTTCACAACATGTTCATAATGTTCTGGTACAGCTGTCACAAGCATGTCACTTTGACCTGGTAAATGCAACTTGAACATACCATTATGGGCAATACATTGTTCGGCCATCCAGTCGTGAAAACGATGAGCATTACTTGCCAATGCAATCATGTTCCCAATATATGGCACTTTGGATTGTAAATACGGCACGATTTTAGGTTTATTGGTACCCTCAATCTCAGTTGCTTCAACTATAATACCAACCGATTCACGTGAACGAGTGGCAACATATGTGGCAACTGCTGCAACTCCTGCAAACAAAACAAAACTTGCGGGACCGAGTGGAGAGTAGGCACGATGTTTTAAAAACCATTGACGCAACATTGCCAAGTGAACACAATGCAAAGAGTTGGTAAATGTGTCGTTTCTTATATACCAACAATATTAGACAAGACGGATAGGTGCATGTTGAGGTGTCCCACTTCCGTCATGAGTTGCACGGGAACCACGTTGTGGCCTGACATTTGCAACTGTACCAATGAAAGTGATTTTATTTATTGCAAATCTCCATTTTTACTTGCTCACGTAACGTGCGGGGTGCATTCTCAAGATTTGATAACAAAAACTTGGTACTAAACATTTTCTTTGGCATGATAAGAATTGCTCTGCAACCATCTGGGTCAGTTGCGTAAAGTGTGCATCACTTGAGTCGGCTATGATGTGCACAAGTTGTTGCATAAGAGGGAATACTTATCATTCAATAACGCAACCTTCTATATATTGTCATGTGTTGCATTAAATGTCGCCCATCTTTTTCATACATTTCTCATCATCTTGTCGGTCGTAACACTGTCCCTCTCAACAGTCATACGAGCCCAGAAAGTCCGTCCGAATCTTTCTTCGAACTCGATTGCACCAGCTTTCGTCTCTTGCTCCTCCCACCTCGCGCCATCAAATCGTTTAAACATGTTTGTGTTGCAATTCACTTCATTCATCGTCGTGCGTCCAATTCAACGTCCATGCTCCCTCTTTCGAACCTCATCACCCACCCCCTTGTTGTCGGGCTAATCTTCGCAGCTGCTGGCGTCACTCTCGTGGTTTATTCCAATAGCTACGCCATTGATTCGGATGATAATATAGACGATCAACTGCAACCAATTCCTTATCTTCCTGGCAATCATCCGATCCTCGGACACACGTTCTTATTGGCACGTAATCTCGATCGATTTCAAGATTGGCTTGTTGAAACAAGTATCGCTCGTGATGGAAAACCTTTTGTATTACGTCAACCGGGAAAGAATGACTGGTGGTTTTCTGCACGTCCAAAAGATTTCGAACAAATCTTAAAAGTACATTTTGATACATTCATCAAAGGCTCTCAAGTTCGTGAATTACTTGATGATTTTATGGGTGAAAACATTGTCATTATCAATGGCTCACGTTGGAAATTTCAACGTAAGGCACTTGTACATTTATTCACAGCCAAAGCATTACGAGAAGAAATGACACCAATTGTTCAAAAATGTGCCTTGGCATTACAACGAGTATATGCTAAAGCTGCAAAAGAACGAAGTATAGTGGATGTTCATCGTATGATGGGACGCTTTACGCTTGAAATCTTTGCTGAGATTGAATTTGGGACTCAATTAGGTTTGCTTGACTCAGAAATTGAGCATCCATTTGAGACTGCAATTGATGCTGCAAATCATATTTCATTAGAAAGGTTTGCTGTTCCGATGTGGGTCTGGAAAATCAAACGATGGTTACAAATTGGGTCAGAAAGGGAATTAACGCATCATATGACAATCATCTCAACTTTTGTCATGGATTGTATTTCCAAAGCCATGGCACGACGCAATAAACGGCAACAAGTTGCAGCTTGTGGAGAACCATTAGAACCAGTTGCAAAGGATATTGTATCCATTCTACTTGATAGTCAAGACTGGACAAATGAGCCAGTAAAACCTCAAGATGTATTTAATATCTCGCTTGCTGGTGTTTTGGCAGGTAAAGATACAACAGGTGATGCAACAAGTTGGCTCATGCATTTGTTGCATGAAAATCCACGGGTTGAACAAAAGTTGCGACACGAGTTGCTTACAAAACTTCCAAGATTCATTGAAGAAGAAAGTTACGTCCCGTCTCTCGATGAATTAGATGCCATTAGTTATTTAAAGGCTACTATTCGAGAGAGTTTACGTTTGAAACCACCGGCACCATGTGTGACGCAACATTGTACTCGTGACACTGTTTTTCCGGATGGTACATTTATTCCTAAAGGAATGGATACAACCTTATTGTACCATGCGTCGGCATTACTACCAAGTGTATGGGGTCCAGATGCTCATGAATTCAAGCCCGAACGTTTCTTGGACGAAAATGACAAACTTCTTGTTATGCCTCCACTCAAATTTATTGCATTTAGTGCTGGTCCACGCAAATGCGTTGGTCAGCAACTCGCACTTATTGAAATGAAAGTTGTTACTGCATGTCTCCTGAGCCGGTTCCATTTGACACAAGTTCCCGGACAAGATATTCGTGGTACTATGGGTATCAGTCTCGGTATGAAAAACGGTATGAAAGTTACAGTCGACGCTGCGTCTTTTGCATGAGCATTTCGTATCCTTAACTTTTGTCAGTAGTCTCTTGTAATACACTCAAAAGATGTGAAATTCATTCAAATAGTCCAAATTGAACAATGGTGTAAGTGACACAATTACATATCATATTTGACAGGTATTCGCTCATCATTATAGACCTTGAAGCTACGATCGACTAGCGGGATGGTCGTCTATCGATAGCTTACGTTTGAATAGATAGTAACTATAAAGTACCACAGTGCCTCGCGTCATCTCGTTGCGTTCCATGTTCCATGTTTTTCTATACAAAGAACTGAGCCCTTATCTTATGTCACTTCACTCACCAACTCGACATCAATTGCGATATGAATGGCATCTCGTCATTCAACATGGAAACTTTGCCAGTAGAGATGGCAATTGATACATCTCCAATTCTTCACTTTCCAATCTCGCCAGGTTGTTATCATCCAACAAGATTAAAGTGCCAGGAATATACAGCAATTGTGCGTGAACGCGTCAATACGATGCTTCAACACGAGCACCACATTACCAATCGTCAAGATCAGCATTTACCACCAATTGACACACAAGAGTGGAAACAGGTACAAAGTAGCAAAGATCTTTGTTTTTATAAACAAATTCGTAACGATCGAACAATCGAGCAATTGGCAAGTGAAGAAGCTCTTCCGGATATACGTCAAGCTGTACGAAATGGGTACTCAACAATGCTCTGTCGTGGACAAATACAAGGTTCTATGGAGAATATCATGTACGGAATGACAACTTCGTCTCAAGCAGATTTAATGACAGCTTTTTCATTTAAAAATGCGCCTAGAGACTGTGTTTGGCTCGGTACTATCGAAAATTCGACATCAGAAGACCCATTTCATTCTGTGGACTTTATTTGGACCATGCCGAAGGTCACAGCGTACGTAGTTGATACTTGTTATCTCAAAGCTACAGGAGTTGAAAGTGATATCAATGGAAAACAGTATGGGTATCTAATACTCCATTCAGTAGATTTACCCCAATGTCGACCTTTTGATGCTCGTGGGGTCTCTCGAATCAAAATGTATATTAGCTGCCTCTTTCGTGAAATTTCATCTGGAATATTAAATGTTACTGTGCGTGGAATTCTTAATCCGGGAAAACGAACTGGCATAATAGCCAAAACGTTGATTGCATTATCCATTAAGTCTTTCATGGTCGGACTGTTGAATTCTGTGAGCATTGGCTTGGCGAAAAAACTTACGCTCATGGCGCGTCGCAATCATATGAAACTGCAACGTCTCAAACAGTCTGAGTGCTCGATCTGCATGAAGACACAAAAAAGATTGTTGTTTGCTTTAAAGACGCATTTGTTTCAATGTGGTGTGTGTGGTGCTACAGCTTGTGCCGATTGTATTGCCAACACAAAACAAATTCTCCTTCTTGGTCGCAATGCTCCACATTTGAAACAATCATGTTGTACTACATGTCTTCGAGACGCTCGAGTGACGTATGGAATTCGTCCAAAAGAACCCGAATTTCAAGTCGTTGCCGACTACTATCTTCACCAAAATTCACACATTGTCAACCCAATAAGTCCCTCTCTGTCAGTGACATCTCAGTCTTCGGTGTCGAAGATGTATCCACTTGATACAATTACTCGTAGCCAACGGCGGTCATTATTGAAAAGTTGTTTGTCAGCCGATATGCCAACGAATTCGACAGCTGATAGTTTGAATACGAATTCATTCTCAAGAGACCTCGATGAAGCTGATTTTTGCTTTAGTGACGACGAAAGCCCCAACCATCCAGAATCAAGTCTTAACCTGTCAAGCGACTCGAATGAAAGCACGTTGACATTTTGGCACGGCACACATCGCATGTATGCCGACGATTTTATTCCCATGACTGCAAAAAGTGCACCATGTTCGAAATTTCAATTAATGCAGACATTGTTTCAACTTAATATCAAGGCAGAAAATACTTTATTGCAAACACAAGCTACTACAAGGGGACTACGTGGTGCTGAGCTTGATTGATCCGTTAGATGGTCAATCTGACATCATACCCACGTAGTAGTATGCTTATATCCAAAATAAACGTTATTTATAAACAAAGATCTTGATAATGATGAAAGCTTGTACTGCTAGCAGGCAAACTAATTGCTACGTTAATCATGTAAGATTCAAGCAAATACTAGCACAATGTGTCAATGTGCTAAGAACTCTATTTCTGGGACGGATTGACTTAAAAGTGGATCGGTACTTGCACAATTATAACGCAACCTATGCAGAGACAGTTTGGCTGGTTACAAATTCCAAAGAAACGATCCTTCCTGCTTAAGAAAATTTCAAATCTAATGCAGTCCGTTTGAGTGCCTTAGCTTAGTCGATAAGCTGTGCTTTACTTCAACCTAATGCTAATGATCACGAACTCGCCAATGCGTTTGAAAATCATCAGTTAAATACTGCAGAGTAGTAGTATCTAGCTTGCATCAAAGAGCTACATAACTTCAGCGATACGTCAATTTACGCTTACACCCGCTGCAAGTTGACGGAATAAGCAGAATCATTGACAACGCCACAAATCCAGATCATGTCGTTAAGAAGGCAGTGGACTCGCGTTTGGTGTTTAAAAGCGCCTTGTCGCTAAAGATGGTCGTTTTCGAACGTCACGGATGACTTGACGAGACGCAAGGTCATAATCAAAAGCTTGAAGCGCGCGAAGGCAAATGGATCTAAAGCTGTGCATTACGCCAAATCTAGTGGATGAGACCAACATGACAAGCTCAATCAAATGTCTTTTTATCACCACTCTGTATCCTCTGCATCTTCATACGGCAAACGGCTTCTGTTGAATAGATCACGTCTTCGAGTGACGTCACCAGAATGACGCTAAAAGGTTAAAATGATCCGTTATACGTGATGACGCCAAGGAACTAA